GTTTCTGCCTCCACTCAAAATAGGCATTTTCAAAATGATATAATAAATCATCTGTGGAGTATTTTGAGCTGAAATTTCACAGACATATTCTGGGGACACCAGAGACTTATATTACATATTGTAAAAAGGGGCATAATATGTCTCCTTTAAATAACAAAAAAACTACAGCGCCATTGACTTTAGGCCAGGTTTTAGTTGGTCAATGGCGCAGTCTATTTCAGTTGCCTCAAAATAGCAACGCGCCAACAATGCGCCTGAACACACCTCGTTTTCAGACCAGCACGCCCATGAGCGCACAAATGGGCGCAAATGCATTTGCTATTTAAACAACGTGGCGCAGCATGTGAAAATCATTACTGCGTCAGGCTGAAACTAGCAAAAAACACTTGCGTCGCGCCTGGCGCCACATTGCGCCGGGTGTATGATAGAGCCCTAAGTCTTCTTTAGTATTAGTTCTTATAATTAGAATTCTTATAATACAGTATCAGAATTTCTGTTTTGTTAATTTTCTCTAAGATTAGTAGCAAGTTTCATGCATTTGTGAAGAGAAATGGAGAAGAGAAACCAATTGTCTGTTTTACCATGTATGTGTGTGGTATTTAATACTTCAATAACTTCTTGTTCTACTGGAATTAGTGCCGACGTGTGCATGTTTGTATGCGTATGTGAATGAGTCAGTGGTGTTTTCTGCTCTTCTCTGTGTGAGAGTTGACTGCAGTTCAAAGAGGAAAGATTGTAATATTACAGCACCATTGATCTGGCATGAGCCTGTGAAGCTATTTTAAGCCGTGATTCAGTCTGACTCACTCTAAATGACAGATTTCGTTTGAGAGAGAAAGAGCTTATTCAATCCCAAATCTTTGATGTGTCAGAATTGACGGGATACACTCTGGAAATTCCTGCAGCTCCGAGCGTCCGGATTCATTTGCAGCTATCACAACTTCCCGGAATCCGCTCTCATTTTTTCCCAAGGAGATTTGGTGTGTGTGTGTGTGTGTGTGTGCATGTGTATGTAGGCGTAGGTCGAAGGTTTCAGATCACGGGTCAATTGCTCTATTCTCTCTTAATTTCCAGATGAACATTCTTAGCTAATCCCAGTAGAACAAGAAAATCACCCCTCTCTTTTTTTCCCTGTCTCTGCTCAAACCCACACTGGACTACATTCATAGAGTATGTCATGTTCTAGAAATGTATGTTTTATCGATAATAGTTGTTGTTTGTCAGATTGTATATTTGAGTGTTTCATTATTATATTTTATTTATTTATAAAGAAACTTGTTTGGTTTTGTGTCAGTATGAGAGTCCACATCTATGGAAGCTTGTTTCCACCACGGGGTAAAAAAAATAGAAAGCCATTTGCAACTTTTCATCTTTTTTTTCTTGCAAATGTGAATTTATATCTCACAGTTCTGACTTTTTTTTCTCAGAATTGTAAGTTTATATCTGAATGTGTCAGAATTGTGATATAAAAAGTCACAATTTACCTAGTTTTACTATTTTATCCTGTGGTGGAAACAAGCTACCACAGGAAAGAAAAAACTGAATTGCGAGATGTAAACTCAGAATTCAGAGAAAACGTCAGAATTGCGAGATGTAAACTCAGAATTCAGAGAAAAAACTGAATTGCGAGATGTAAACTCACAATTCAGAGAAAAAGTCAGAATTGGGAGATGTTAACTCAGAATTCTGACTTTTCTACAAGGAAAAAAGTGCGATACAAACCCCTAATTGTGAGGGGGAAAAAGTCAGAATTGTGATATAAAAATGGCAATTACATCTTTTATTTTATTCAGTGGTGAAAACGGGCTTTCATTCAATTCACAGTTTATTGCTCAATGTCAAATTTTGCATTTGCGTTTAATTAGCAGACACTTTTATCTCACAAATGAGAATAATATAAACAGTAGAGATCAGTTCTTGAGTAATAAGTCTTATCATTCTTATAATGCAATGTCAGAGTTGGTTTTGTGGAAATCTGAAAAAGTTTAGTAGCAGGTTTCATGCATTTACAAAGAGAAATGGAGAAGAGAAACTTTTTCAAGACAAAACGTTGCTACCGTACAACAATTTAATGCATTTACAAGAGCAGTAAAAATATAAAGACAATATGCAAGCACAATATAAATGATAAAGAAGGTTTTTGAATTTATATATGGAATTAAATGTTCCTAAAGACATTATTTAACTAATTATTTTAATTTGTTGTGCTTTGTTGATCTTTTAGGACTACAAAATGCCAAAGCTCACTGTACCCTGTTCGGACATCCAAGAGATTCGACGCTGTAATCGCCTAGAGATGCCAGACAACATGAACACATTTGTCTTAAAGGTGAACAAAGACACACAGTCATGAATTACACACTGGTTCATTTTATTGATAAACTAATATATTTACCAGGCTGATTCATTTGGATGATATTAGGCCATTTTAAGATTGTGTATAGGCACGTCCTGTTTTCATGATGATTTTAGTGCAGATTTAAGTAAATATTGCATGCAATAAATCAATGGTCATTAAACTGTATTACATTTACATATAATTATGGAACTATATAATATATAAAGAAGGGTCCAAAAGTAAAATTTTTTAGGACCTTCACTCTATAATGTAAAAATTCATAAGAAATATTTCAGATTGTGCACTATTTTTAGGACTCGTTATCAAGTAAATGAGTGTCATTGATTATGTGACTCTTGTACAGTTGGTTCTTCTGTTGAAGCTCTCTGGAACAACTCAAATCATGCTGGAGAATATGATCATCAGGTTTTATAATACAATAATTATTAAATAGAAAAATGCAAAATAGAACCATTTTAACAACTTGTCATTTTTGGAACCCACTGTCATGATTAGTGGTCGACCAAAATGTGTTTTCCTTTGGTCTCTGCTGATATCTAGAGAGCAGTGGCTGATGGCCAATATAATGCAGTTGTTGATGGCAGCACCTTGTGTGGTGCAACAGGCTTTTCTCTATATAAAACTATATTATATTTATAACTAGATAAAAAAGTTTGTAGACAAACCTCAAGCTGGCTTGAAAAAGCCGAGCCAGAAAGTTTGAAGTAGTTTTAAAGTTTTAGTTGAAAGGTTTTCAGTTTTGCTTAAAACCAGCTAAAACTACAAAAGTTAGATTTAGAAAAGTAGCTAAAACCAGCTTTGCTTGAACATTTGGGCGGCGTTATGCAAATTTTCCCAGATCGTGACGTAGGTATGTGGGGGTGTGTTAGAACGAGCCGTTTTAGGTAGGTGTGGCTGACTCTGAAATTTTATAAAGAATATCTCTTTGGATTTGAGACTTTAGTCTTTGCAACTTTACAGATCTTCTTTATGCACCAAGAGCATGTAACACTCCAAAGAGAAAGGAAAAATTGAAATCGCATCATATGACCCCTTTAACAAATACCAGCTTAAAACCAGCTGTTTTAACAAAAAAAAAAAAACCCAGCTAAAAACCAAGCTAAAACCAGCTGATTTAGCAAAAAATGGCTGAAACCAGTTAAACCAGCTGATTTGGCAAAAAAACAGCTTAAAACAAGTTGATTCAGTAAAAAGCAAACAGCTAAAACCAGGTCATTTAGTGAAAACCAGCTAAACCCAGCTGATTTAGCAACAAAAGCTAAAAACCAGTTCAAACCAGATCATTTAGCAAAAAAAACAGCTGATTTAGTAAAAAAAAAAAAAACCCCAGCTAAAACCAGTTAAATCCAGATAGATAGATAGATGAGTTTGAATGAGTCTCAGTAGCTTAGAAATAGTACATAGATTGGCAGCTCAATTGAGTCTAATGGGCTTCAGTGTGTTTAGATTTGAATGTCTATCAGCTGGAGCTTGATGAGTCTTGGCTCATTTGAACATTCCGTCAATGTAAGTCTATGGGATTTTTCCTAGTTTTAATCGTCATTTTTAGGAAAACCGTAAGTCCGATCAGTTAGAAAAGATATAGCACACTAGTCAGATCAGTCTGAAGGTCTGACCCGAGTTTGGTGAATGTAGCTTGAAAGCTGTAGGAGGAGATACAATTAGAAATTTAGTCTAAGAAGAAAAATAATAATAATCTTAAATAGTAAATCAGTACGTTGGCTTTTTCAAGCCAACTTAATTACTATGCATGCAGTTTTTATGGCCTTATAGAATTTGGAATAGTAATTCTAAATGTATATATTTAAATAAAAGGTTTATATATGTAAATAAAAGCTTTTATGATGACTACATGGAATAGTATTTTGGAATGTATATATTTAAATAAAAGCTGTTATGACCTCATTATAATTGAGAAACCATAAACCTTTTACTAAAATGTACAAATCAAAAATCTAATCTAATTTTGGATTTATACATTTTAGTAATAGGTTTATATATTTAAATAAAAGGTTTTATGACTTAATAATAATTATTACTACATTTTATTTAATTTACATTTTTTTATTTTAGCATTTTTTTTCTAATCTTACTTCAAATTCACCACAAATATTGTAAAACATGATGCAGATAATAATCAAAAAGCAGTCAATTAATCGGCCCAAGCAGTAACTCAGTCAGACACTGTATTTGGTATGAATAAAAAAACATTTGATGAATCCCTCACCAAATGAGGTTCATTTCTAAATCTTTTATTTTCTTTTGTTCTGTTGGTTCATGTGTTTAGTTTTTTCCTCTGTTCTCCGCACAGGTTACTGGTCATCCGGGTAGTTTTATATTTGAGGCTGATAATGAGCAGCAGGTGAGCTCTTGGACCACAGAGCTCAGAGAATGCATCACCAGCAGGTGAGAGCGACGCTTTCTGCGTTTGAACTAAACTTATCTCTGAAGATCCCAGACATCTGCAAAAGTTCCTGTCATTCCCCTACTGAGAAAACCCACTCAGTTCCTCTTTTACACACATACATACACTCTCTCACACACACACACACACACACGCGCGCGCACACACACACGCGCACACACACACACACACAGAATAAAACAGCTCTATTTTAACAAAACTGAACTTAGTGCTACTGCTAAAGAAATCCACATAGTTTGAGTTCTCACATATTTTAGTATTTTTAAAAGTCTTAATTTAGACGTCAGTCGGTGTTCTGCACATGCTATGTCTTTCACAAAATGTGTGTTTGTTGTGTGTGTGTGCACGCATCTGTTTCATTTCCTTTTATTGGTGTGAAGGTACTGAGAACTCAAGTCTGTGTGAATATATCAATGTGAGTTTTAGGAAGAGAGAGAGAGAGAACGAGAGTGAGGTCTTCCTGTTATTCTGATTACTAAGAATCTCAAGAACTCGACTCAGCACATCTCATGGCCTCCTTTCTCTCCATGCCCCCTTCTTTCTTTTTTTTCTCTCTTTCGC